AAAAAAAAAAAAAAAAAAAAAAAAAAAAAAAAAAAAAAAACAAAACAAAACAAAAGAAAACAAAAGAAAAAAAAAAAAGAATAATCAATTGATTAATTAATTAATTATTGACGCTTTTTGTTATCGGCGTTAATCTGGAACTCCCCGGAAGCGGAAGCGGAAGCCGTCATCATGATCTTGAACTCGTCGAAATCAATGGTGCCGTCGCCGTCGGCGTCGACGCCGGCGATCATCTTGCGGCAGTCGTCGACGGAGCATTGGTCGCCGAGGCTGGCCATGACCATGTGGAGCTCCTCGACGGTGATGGAGCCGTTGCCGTCGATGTCGAAGATGGAGAAGGCGTCCCTGAGATTCTCGAGGACCTCGTCGGGGTCAACGCCCTTCGTGTTCAGCTCGATGAACTCCTCCAGGCTGATGTGGCCGTCGCCGTCCGCGTCAACCTCTCCGATCATCTTCGAGAGCTCCTCCTCCGTCGCCGCCTGCCCCAGGCTCCTCATCATGGACCCCAGCTCCGAGGACGAGATCTTGCCGTCGCCGTTCACGTCGAACTTCTTGAACACGTACTCCAGCTCCTCCGCCACGCGGCCGCGGCCGCTGCCTGGGATCGCCGTGGGCAGCGCGGAGGTGGAAGAGGTCGACGCAGAGGACGACGACGTCGTCTTGAGCATTTTCCTCTTCCGGCAAAAGAGGGATCTGAAACCCATTCTTCACCACGGGGACCACGCCACGGAAAATCCAACAAACTCTTCCTTCTCTTCTTCTTCTTCTTCTTCTCAAGATGTTATTATTGGCATGCAAAGAGTGAGGCCCCTTTTTCTCCTTCTATATTTTTCTTTCTCTTTTATATATTTCCACCAATTCTATTTTTTCCTTTTCTATTTCCTTCCTCAAATTCAAATTCTACCCATGCTTGCTGCCTCAATAATCAATAAATTTGCCCTTATTAATTCTTTTTATAAATTAAATGTATATCATCTGTAGTTATTGGCTACGAGCATGATTCTGATCAGTCACCTAAATAATTTCTCTCCTCCCGGTATTTACAATTATTATAATTTAATTAGTAATTTTGAATATATAAAATTATTTTAAATACTCATATCAAGCCCACAATTGGTGTAGAATATATATATAATTTACGAAAGTTTAGTATTTCAATTTTGTGGATAAAATTATATAGTTTAATATTGGAGAAAAATTAATTTAAATATAAATTTCCATATTTTTTGATAAAAAGATATAAATTTAAATAAAAATTAATGTTATGTAAATCAAATGAAACACCAATTAATTATTTAGTGATATATAAATAAATAAATAAATTTTTTTCCTTATTATTTTAAGGAGAAATTACATGCATACAAATTTAATTGTTATTTTAAGAAAAAATTATTGCATGGATAAGTTATGGAAAAATCATGCACTTAATAGTAATCATTTAAGGAAAAATTATTACATAAAAACCTTGAAGAAGTTATCCATTTTATTATAAAGATAAAAAAAAATCTTTTACAAAATATGAAGGATATTAGAAAAAAAAAACATCTGAAAATCAGCTTGGCAGGATCTAAATGGGTTAGACAAAACAAAACTATATATTGCTAAATTATAAATTAAATATTTATCAAACATAAAATAAAATCTAACATATTAATTCAAAAGTTAACAAAAATATATTTTCTTATAATTAATAATAATTACACGGTATTTTTTATTTTTTATAACTGGTTTTTTAATCAAATTTTATCACTTGATTGTTTTATTAATATAATAATTAATTAATATATAATCAATAATTAATTTTAATTTAAAACTATTAGTTTTTTTTATAAGATTTAAACTTATTATTAGTTACTTACTGATTGTAACGAAATTATACACTTCACAAAATTATTAATACTAAAAAAATTGATTGCAATTAATTCTTTTATAACTACCATCAATTGCTCCACAATGCACCTTCCTAGGAAGAAGTCCCAAGTCCTATTCATTTTTATCTTTGTAACAGTTTGATTTTCATACCTTATATTAATAATATTTTAAAAATTATTTCAATATGTTAATGTATTTATTTTGAAATTTTTGATAATATTTAAGTATTCATATGAACATTATTTTGTTTTAAAGTATGATTTCTAATTATTATTTTGATATTTAATGTAATTATTTTAGAGTTTTGATATTATTTAATTAATTATATGAGCACTATTTTATTTATGAGACGTGATTTATAATTATTATTTTGATATTTAATGTAATTATTTTAGAGTTTTGATATTATTTAATTAATTATATGAGCACTATTTTATTTATGAGACGTGATTTATAATTATTATTTTGATCAGTGATATATAGGTAACTTTTATGAAATATACTTTATTAATAATTATGCTTATATTATTTGATTAGAGGGAAGAGGTGTATTTTAAGTATATTATATTGTATTAATTATTTTATGAGAAGGGAAGGAAGAATGTCTTTTTGTAAATTATTAAAAAAAAATTTAAGAAAGGAGTCATCAGGAGTTGAGGGAGGTTACTTAGGTTTCATTACTTCTTACCTTTTTCCCTTATTTCTTTCTACGCTCTAAAGACCAAGGAGAACTCATAGAAGAGGAACAACCAGATTCTGATCATGCTTCAACTTCTGCTCATCAAGGTAAGGGAGGAATGAAAAATCTCGGTTGGAGGTGTGAGAATATTTGTTGGGAAGTAGGATTGACCTCCAATCCCTTGTTTGATGCATGCTCATAGGAACAGGCAAATTCTGAATGGTTTCTATTTTGGTGTTTGATGTTTCTGATGTGTTCCTTGTTGGATGTTGTGCATGAATATGTAGTTAATTTCAAAAATTGGTATGCTTTAATGTGGATTAGAGTGCTCTATGAGTTCTTATGGGAATCCTATGAGAAACAATTAGGGATATGATCATTTGACAAGAATTGAAATGTTTAATGTGAAATTAAGTATGAATTTGTGTTCTAGAAGTTATTTGAAATAATTGTACCAATTGGATTGCATGAATATGTGTTTTTATGTAAAAATCACATGATTGCAAAGTCTGGAATCACAGGTTCGCATTGAAGGTGTCAAGCGTGGTTCTTCACGCGGGGCGCAAATTTATGAGTTGGCTAGGAAAGTTGAGTTATAGGCTCAAGAAAATTGCGTCGGGCACAAGAAAGTCACACCGAGCATGTGTGAAGCTACGCCGAGCGAATTTGTCCATTTTAGGCGTGACATTAAATTTTCCAGGCGTGCTTAGGGCCCGTCGGCCATGTTGTTTTGCCTTTGGTGCAACATTTAATTCACCGAGCTCAAGTTGGGGCGTGCCGGGCGTGACCCCTGCTGATGTCTACATGTTTTCTTATGTGTTTGGTGGTACGAATTGGATGTGAACTATCTTGTACTGATTTGATGTGAATTACGTGTTCTTATGGATGTTATGATGAAGAGAATCCCTATGTGCGTGACCTTATGAATATGACTATGAGAAAGAAATAACAAGTGACATGAGACATGATATGATATGACAAGTGAAATGTTGAGTCCATGGATTTGTGAATGTGTGTCATGCATTATATGCATTTATGTGACTGGGTACGATATAAAGTACACCGTTAGGGAATGCCCTTTCGAGTGAAACATCTCGAAGGAGTCCTGGGGGATAGCACAATTTGGAAGGCTCATTTTTGCCCGTTTGTGTGCATAGGATGTATCTTGCGCAACTTTTCTATCCCGACGAGACCCTAGTAGTTCATCCTTTTAGTTGAGAGTGCATGGGTTGAGCCCTACATGTACTCCTAGACTACTCTAGGTATGTTGTTTCAACAGCATACCATGTGATATGTGACTAGTATAGTGCCATATGCATGCATTTATGAATCAGGTTCATGACATCATTGCATGATAAGTGAATGTGCATGTGTTTTAATGTATCTATAACTTGAGAATTATGCTTGGTTATGTGTAACTTGCATGGTATTTTTTATGATTGTGTGAGTGTTGCCTAACATTTATTTTTACATTTGAACCCGAGTGAGATGTTTCTCACCCCCTTGTTGCTCTATGTGTATTTTTATTGTGTTGCAGGTGATCATCAACATGAGAATGTTGGTGATGAGGTTTAAGTCTCATTATGGGGTGTGCTCTGATAGGACATGTAACATCGGGACTTAGTTATGATTAATTTAGAATGTTGCTCTTATTAAATTGCTTAGAAGACTTTGATTTTATTTTTTTTGTAATTTCTGCATTAAACTATGATTTATGAATGTGAGCTTTTTACCCTTATGTGGTTAGAGACTTAGATTTTATTTATGAAGAATTTTATTTCTCTTTATTTATGGTATAATTATGTATGTGGGGTAGAGGGTGTCACAACCTTGAACATTATCGCTTTGAGTCCCCCACATCACTTCACCACCATACAAAAAAGTAGGGCATAGGTGTTCCGATCCATAAAAGAACTATGGCTAAAACATTTATGAATGAAGAATTTTCCTTTTTTTCTACTTTCATGTCTTTTATATGTTAGATTATTTAATCTAATATTGACTCATGTATTTAAAAAATGAATTTTAGTGAAAAGATGTTCAATGTGATGGTTGTTAGACTTAAAGTATATTAAGAGTCATTGAGAATTATTTTAAAGTTATTAAAATTAATTCCCTCCCTTCTCACTTTATTAAAAGGTAATTTTAGCATTATAGAATATGAATTTGAAAAATGGAAGTTAAAGGAAGATACAAAAGTTAAGTTTGTGACACCCTTACTACCCTAACACATATATAATATAATTTAATTAAGAAGAATAAACTTTCAAAGGGTTCGTAAAAGGGTTCACATAAAACTTCAAAACTGTTCTTTCTTCAATATAAGAAAATGACTGAAAAATAAAACTTGAAAGGTAAAATTTAAGAGTTTACAATTTTAAAATCATTTATTACAATACCAAATCCATATAAATATTCTGTCCTAGAAATCCTCTGCCCCAATTTCTAATTCTTATGCAACCTCTACTTTATTCATGTACAACTCTATCAATTTCACCAAGGAATGTCTAAGGGTAAGACAAGTAAACTTGGCGAGCCTATCCACTCATCATCTTACTTCCAAAATAGGACGTCTAAGTGCTACAAAAATTCTTAAAGACTTATAGCATACTAAACACGAGTATACAATTTCTCTACTGCTCTCTTCACCAGAGTTTTTTTGTCATTCTATTACTAATTTATTGAGATTATTTCACTAAAAATAAATAAGTTTATTGTATCAAATGGATAAGAGTTGGATACATGACAATTCTCTAAATAAGAGAAGTACATTAGACCACATCAATCTTTATATTAAAATATCCAATACGCATCATATATTGTCATGTATTTTGACTCTTCGTGTTTTGAGTTTCGACGAGAACAAAATGAAGTTTCTTGTTTTTCTTTTTGATTTCTTATTATTTACTTTTCCTTTCTCAATTTAGCGTTTATATAAATTTAAGGAAATAATTATAAATTTATTGTTTAATACATATTTACATTAGTTTGTTTTAGTTTTTATTAGTTCAATTTATGTGTTGTCAAATCATAACTATTTTTAGTAAGTCAATTAGTTAAGCACTCTTAGTTAGCTACACAATTTTAAGTTCTTATATTTCTCTTCTATATTTGCATAATTAATATGTAACAAGATTAATTAGTGACACAATAAGAATCTATATCAGTAACGCAATTCATTTATAATTATTCCACCTGAATTAATTAATTACCTTTTAATTTTATAGTATTATTTCAACCAATACGATCTTTCGGGCTCACTTCTAAAGATTAATCTACATT